TTGGGCGGGTCCCTTCCCTTTCTGGATTTCAGAATTCTTCCTCTATAAAAATAAAGAAGTTGGACCAGATTGCCTGCTCTAAAGCCTATGCCCCTCCAAGTTAGGAAACTCTTCTCCTTCAAGGGCATTTTCTGGACTCTGGGCTGGAAACAGAAGGTTATCAGTTGAGAAGCTTTTCCCCTTCACGGAACAGAACCCCAAACATTCTACAGCTCACTTGGCTAGTATTCTGCTTCTTTTCTCCCTCTACCCTAAAGGCCTTATTTCCTCTCTACTTGAAATTCTTTTATTTTTAACTCACTGGTCAGAAAAATAAGACGTTTGAGGAAAGACAAAAGATTTCGAGATTATTCGACTGGGAGAACAGAAATCTAGAAGAGAAAAAGATGGTGATTCTAGTTGTGGCTCTGCCATTTGGTAGCTGTGTGACCTGGGGCAGATCACTTGGCCCGTCTGGGCTTGTGGCAGGCTCTGTAAAAGGAGAGGCTGAGACTAAATGATCTGTGGAGCTAGAAGGGACCCTTAGAGTTCCAGGGGTCTGATCTAAGCCCTTCATTTTACAAGTGAGGAAATAAAGAACAGGGAGGTGAACACATGAACTGCCCAAAGTCAGAGGACTCCTAGGAGCAGAAGCCAGGCCCTGACCCCAAACCCAAGGTTCTGCCCACTCTGCTTCATTGCCAAGGTCCTTTCCAGCCCTGAACCTGGGTCTTCTACAGCTCTAAAAAACGTCCATTTCCATGACTGTCACTACTCTGGAGAATTGCTAGATAGAACATGGTGACCAGTTGTTCTCCATCTGCCCTAAAGAACAAATGCATCTTTAAACCGGGGGACAAGGGACTGACTCTTAAGTAGGAGTTTTCTGAAGGAGCCACCTGACCAGAGAGGTGGGTGCCAGAAGGAAGCTGTGAACCGCACAGACAGTCACCATCAGCTCACACATACCCTCACCTGACTGCCCTGGTTTTTAGGGCTCGACACAAGGGAATGAATGAAATGACCTCTTGGCTTCCCCGACTCCCTCCCACCTCCATGATCATCCCATTCTGTTCCAGTACCAAAGAGCTTCTCCCTGCTTACTTTCAGAGTGTCACGCTAATAGTCGGAGGCATTTGTAACACTATGAATAGGCTGCTAGGTAATCTGTGGCACTTTCCTGCCTTCTCAAGGTCATGGTAATGCTGGAAGGGCCCTTTCTGAGATCGCCTATGGTCCAGGGGTGGGGAACCTGTGGCCTCGAGGCCACATGTGGCCCTCTAGGTCCTCAAATGTTGCCTCAAGGCCTAGGCCAACCCCCTCATTTGAGGAAACTGAGGCTCAGAGAGAACCCCGATCCAACACCACAAATGAAACTGCTTTAATCCGGGTTATCTCAGCCCAGGGTTCTTTCTCATACGTTGCCACACCATTCTAGGCACAGAGGTGTGGCAACCATATACTTTCTCCTCCTCCCTCATCAACTGAGCATACTTGGGGCTAACTGGCATGCAATGAGGGGCCAAGCTCAAGGATGGGAGGAGGAGGCAGGTTACTCAATGGTGACACTTAGGATAGTTGAGTTTCCCCAAGAAGTCCAAGGAGATGTAATTTGGTTCTCCTCCCCACCCCCCTTTGGTTTCCAGGTCTAAAGTTCCCCAATGTCAATGATAAAAGAAAGCCCTCAATTGGGATAAGTTTAGGGTCCCACTTTGGGGGAGAAGCTCTCAGGTACAAACTAGCAATGATTTGAAGGAGTCGAATTATCCTGAGGGCCCAAATTTTGTCTGCCATGATGAGCTTGTGAGAAAACATCTATCCAGTGTGGCACAGCTGTACCGCTCTGAACATTTTATTGACCTTCCAAGAGCGATGGGGCAGCTTACTAAAAAGGGCACTGGGTCTGACATCAGAAGCCTTGGGCTCAAGGTCAGGATGTGCCAGGGGTGTAATGGCAGCCAGGGGGCCCTGCCTGAGCCTCAGGATACTCACTTACTAAGCAGCACAGGAATACTCAAGCTACCTGTCTCAGGGAGCCCTTGGGAGGTTCTCTCCTGCCCAGCTGGTCCTTTTCCTCTTGGAGGCCCCAAGGTGATATTCTATTCAATTTCTGATTGAGTACCTGCCATGAGCAGCATGGTGCCAAGGCCTATTGAGTGCTGGCCCCAACGTACCAGCAAATGTTTCATCCTCACACTATAACCCAAACATTATGTGGGACACAGGTCAGTGCTATCAGGATTTAGGAGAGAGAGAAATACAGGCTCCTAGATCTAAAGTCAGAAACATCTAGTCCAATCCCCCTCGTTTTACGGGGGGGGGGGGGGGCTGAGGCCCAGGGAAGGGAAGAAACTTGTCCAAGGTCACACAGGCAGTAAACCACCAGAGGTGGGATTTAACTCCAGGTTCTCTGCCTCTTTCCACTGGACCACGCTGTCTCTAGAAGTCGTTTTAAGCTAGAGCAGTCACAGAAAGCAGACAGTCAATCAGGGTTCAGTATAGCTCACACACCTGAATGACTGCTATAGCCAACCAGGTCTTTCCATGGACACTGGCTTTCTGATCCATCCTTTGTATGGCTGCCTGAAGGATAGTCCTCATGGATCTGGTCATGTCTCTCTGCTCAGAAATCTGCAGGGGGTCCCTGATGTCCCCTGTCTGTCGTTACCAGGCTCCACCATCTGCAGTCAGTCACTCCATTGGCCTTTTTGCCTATCACAGCCAACCACACACTCCACTCCCCTCAACAGGCTATTCTTACTCTCTTACCTGCTCGATTTTTCTTCCACTATTCCAGTCTTAATCCCAAGGCCACCATCCCCAAGAAGCCTTCCTCATTCTCCCTTGATGGTAATGACTTTGCCTCTCAGGTCTCACAGAGTATTCTGTTCTATTCCCTAATAATGACTTGGAATGGAACATGGAATGTCCATATCTGGATCTCTGCTTTAGGCACCTGTTTACAATGTCACTTCCTGGAGGATAGGAATCCTATCTCTGCCCTACTTCCTACACACAGTACACAGGAGATGCTTAAAAAAGACAAGAACTACTGTCAGGTAGGTAGCCGGGAGGCGCTGAGGACTGTGGGTCCCTGCTCTAGGCTTTGGTCTTCTGGGGCCAGGAAGAAGCTATGGACTGGGCCAATGGGTATTACTCAGGATCAAAGAAGAGTGAAGGCCATTCCCATCATCACTTGGGGTTCAAGACTCTAGGCCACACTCTGAGAAAGTGTAAAGCCAAATTCAATCTTACTGTGCCCACACCTTTCCACACACTATTTTCTCTATTCTGGCCTTAGCAGGTACTTGGGCTATCCACCCTCAAAAGCTTTCCATGGACTTGCTCCTAGTCAGAGCCCTGGCCAGTACCCACAAGAAACAAAGGGGCACTCATACTTCTGTCCCACCAGGCCCTGCTTCCAGAGGGAGGTCTTATTGCACACCTCCCTGCCAAAGAGGGCAGGCTCCTTAGCCCAGAAAAGAGGGTGGGACTAGTGGTGTCTGAGAACATAGGTTCGGATCCCAGCTTCGCAATTTACTACCCCAGTGATCCTGCATGAGCCCCTTCCAAATCCAGTTCACCCATCTTTAAAATGAAAGGACCAGACTAGATGATTCGTTTATTTTTTTTAGGCAGTTGGGGTTCAGTGACTTGCCCAGGGTCACACAGCTAGTAAGTATCAAGTGTTTGGTCTGAGGCCAGGTTTAGAACTCAGGTCCTCCTAACTTCAGGGCCGGTGCTCTTTCCACTGCGCCACCTAGCTGCCCCCAGACTAGATGATTTCTAAGAAACCCTCTGGCTCTAACATAATCTGGTGCCTTACACCACACCAAGGCAAATCTTTCCAGAAGGGAGAACCTCAATTAATTGAAGACTCCAGTTAAAATCAAGGTGAGAAAGAGGCCTAGACAGATAACTCAGAAGAAGGAGGGTGAAGGTAAGACCAGAGGAGTCAACAGGGGAATCAATGGGCATGTGTGCTGGGGGAGTATCTTCAGAACTAAAATTAGAAGGCTTTTCTGTTTTCCTTTCTCATGGAGAGGGACTCCTTTTCTCTCTACCTCTCACATAGATCCAATTGATTTGTACCTGAGGGACACACAGCAATTTAGGGAACATCCTACCTTGAGAAGAGAACATTTGGAAACACTCCTCAAATGTGGAGAGTGCCTCCCCAAATTATTTGGGAGCACTTCCCTTCCCATTCCCCTCCCCGCCCCATGGTTGTGGGGAGGGGGCAGGCAGCTGCTTAGTCGGCCATAGAGAGGGGCAGAGAGATGTGCTAGGTAGGGAATAAGAAAAGGAAAGAGGTCAAAGAAAAGAAGGGTGTGGTGGAGGCCAGAGAGGCCTGACCAGCTTCCCTAGTAAGTCACCTAGGACAAAGCTGCGATCTCGGCTTTTTTCTCGGGTGCCTCTGCTCTGCTCCCCAGGCCCTCAGTTTTGGTGTGTGTCCATCTGTGCCAATGGGGCTGTCACCACCCTCTCAGCATCAGCCTATCTCTGTGCCCCTTTCCTGGTGTGCACCTCTTCGGCCTCAGTACATCTGTCCATGGAATCGCATCTCTCTCAATGCCAGTGTGTGCCAGTTTCTATCTCAAGGTCCGTGCTGCCGTCTCTCTGTCCTTCCAGATGTCTGGGGGAAGGGGGGGAATCTCTCCGACCAAATCAGTGAGTGTCCCTACAGCCGTCGGGGGGCGCGCGTGTGCCCTCTGCCTCAGGTCACAGTGGGTGTGTCCCAGAGTGTGTGTGCTCCTGTGGGTGGGTGTACATGCATGTATGTGGGTGTGCATGCGTGTGCATGCATGTATGTGTGCATGCTTATGTGTGCGCGCGTGTCCCGGGCCTCCGGGGCCAGGCAAAGGAGGGAGGGGTGGGTGTGCCCCCCTCTTCCTGGAGCGCCCCCCCTCCCGCGGCAGCCGCATGTGGTCCAGATCTTTTCTCACCCCCCACCCCCACCCCCACCCCCTCCCCTAGCTGCGGCCAAGCTTCCCCACTGCCCGCCCGAGACGCCGACTTACCGGGCCGCAGACGCCGCCTCCCCGCCCGGGCATTGTCTCCCGCGCCGCCGCCGCCGCGGCTCCCGTCACCTCCGGCACTGGCCCCCGCTCCGCCCCGCCCCTCCACTCCCCTGCCCTCCCCTCCCCTCCCCCCGCGGCTCGAGCCAGCTTCCCCGCCCCCCGCTCCCAGCGCTCCTCGCTCCCTTCAGCGGCCAGCGCCGCAATCGCTGGGTGGGACCCCTCCCCTACTCTCCTCTCCCCTCCTCTCCCCTCCCCTTCCCTCGCGTCTCCTCCCTTCCCCTTCCCTCCCTTCCCCTCCTCTCTCCTTCCCTCCTTCCGACCGGCAGGCGCCGGGACCAATCGGCTCAGCCAGGAGGCGAACCCCGCCCGTCCTCGGTCAGCCTGTGTGTGTGTCTCTTTAAATGCAAATCAGCCGGGGTGGGGAGACCAAAGGTGGCTAACCACCCTCACCTAGACCCCCCTCCCTCCGCCTTCCAGGCCCCGGTACCCCTATCCTGGCTGGCCCAGCAAACTGCTGGACGTGCGCGCCCCTCGGTGTTTCATTTTGCCCCAGCTAATTTACCGGCCTCCTGCCGGCATTTGGGCCCGGGTTACTCCAGCGCCTCCCGCTCGATCGTTCGGCCGAGTGCTCTGTGCCCGGCGCCGGCAGTTCGTTTGGGCGGGCGCCCGCCTTGGCCCCTGCTCTCTCCCCGCGTCTCGCACCCAGCTCTCCGCTCCTCGGGCCCAGGCCCCCACACCGCCCCAACCCCAACCCTGGCTGGGTTGCCTCTCAGGACCTCTGTTTAAGCTACGTCGAGATGGGAGCGTGCTCCCGGGGTACCCCCTCCCCGGGTTGGACCCTGAGCCCCCCAACCCTTCCATCGAAAGGCTAGCTTGACCTCTGCTCGCCCTCCTCTCCTGGATTTGCTTCAGCGTCCTCTCTTGGACCGCATCCTGTGCTCAGGACACCTGGGGCCCCATCCAGACGCCCCTCCTGGCCCCATGACCTTAAGCCAGTGGTTTAGGAAGCCCTGGGTGGGAAGAGACCTCAGGGGCCATTCAATCCAACAAGCATTGAGCATCTCCTGTGCGCAAATTCTGAATCAGGATAGGGGCTAGGGTGAGTGGCGAGAAGGCTCCAAGCACCTCACCTCTGTCTGGGCCTCAGTTTCCTCCTTTGTAAAATGAGGCCATTGGATTGAACAAGTCCGAAGGGCTCTCACAGGGCTACTGCTATTGGAGGAAACTCTGCTTTGTTTTCTGTCGCATCTGACTCTTCATGACCCTGTTTGGGGTTTTCTTGGTAGAGATACTGGAGTGGTTTGCCATTTCTTTCTCCAGCTCATTTTACAAACGAGGAAACTGAGGCAAACAGGATAAAGGGACTTGCCCAGGGTCACACAGCTAGTAAGTGAGGCCAGATTTAAGCTCAGGAAGATGAGACTTTCTGACTCGAGGTCGGGTGCTCTATGCACTGCAGCGCCACCTACCTGCCCCACCTATCTAGTGTACCACCTAGCTCCCCCACTCTGCTACTGGGTTAGATATTCTGAATTGTCAGTGAAAGCAGGAAGGGAACAGTCATCCAGACTCATCGGTTCATACTTCGGCCAGGAAGACCAGTACAGTGGGCCCGAAGCTTCCTTTGCTGAACATCGGTTTGCAAATTGGCTTTGTCCCCCTCATTCTTCCAGCATTCTTCGGGAAGCTGGCCCCATGAAAGTGGTCTCACTCTCTTCAAATTTCCCTTAACGGTGTGTTTGGCTCTCTCTCCTTTGGCAACGTCATACATACTACACCTATCTGAATACATATGACATCAACCAGGCAGCTAGGTGGCGCACTTTGAGTTCAAACTCAGCCTTAGACCTTTGCTGAGTGACCCTAGGCAAGTCCTTTAACCTTTGCCTCAGTTTCCACATCTGTAAAATAGAAAAAAAAATAACATCTAACCCCCCGTGGTTCTTGTGAGGATCAAATGAGATATTTGTAAAGTGTCCAGCACATAGGAACTATATAAATGCTAGCTATTATTAATCAAGTAGAATGGAAGCTCCATGAGGACAGGAACTGTTTTCTTATATTTTTGTATCCCCAGCATCAAGCATAGTACCTTGTGTACAATGGCTGCTAAATAAACTCTTATTGAAAATAAATCCATATCTAGGTGGTGATCATATCTGCAGCATCCCCAAGGAGCAGTTATCCAGCTTTAAAGACTTTTAGTGACAGGGAGTTCACTACACATATACCAAGGCAACCCAATCCACTTTGGACAATTCTAAATGAGACAACTTTGCTTTGAACTGAGCTGACACCTGCTTCTTAAACTCCCCTCTCTTCACTGCTGGTTCTGCCCTTTGGGACAACAAGGCAGAATAAGTCTTTCAAAGCCCCACCTCACTCCACTGTCCCAATGCTCCCCGATCATCTTTCGGAACACCTTTTTTTAATAAACCCATCAAGTCATAGTAGTGATTAAGAGCTAGAAAAGGGTCTTAGAAATCATTTAGGCTATTTCTCTCATCTTGTAGTTAAGGAAACAGGCCAAGGGAGGTTGTGGCCTGCCAAGGTTGCCCAGGAGCAAAAGATCACTGAAATTTGAATAAAGGTCCTTTGAAGTCAATTCTTGTACTCAAGTCTGCATCCACTGCAAGCAAGTCCTTTCTGAGCCTAAGGCCTGACTCTAGGGTTAAAGAATCCAGAATCATGAGTTTACTGTTGGGCATGCTCCTCTCTCCTGAGAAAGATCACAGCCTCTTCATGCCTTCCTTAATCCTGTTACTGGAAAAAAAAAAACGACAAATAAACAAAATCCCAACTCCGTCCCCTGGTGGCCAGTATCGGTACTGTCTCCCAGAATGTGAAGCCAGAGGTGGGGAACCTGTGGCCCCAAGGCCATGTGGCCCTCTAGGTCTTCAAGTTCGGCCCTTTGATTGAATCCAAACTGGCTGCACTTGAGGATCTAGAGGGTAACATGTGGCCTCTAGGCCTCAGGTTCCCCACCCCTGGATTAAGCTGATGCATGGGAGGCACAACTGTAGGTCAGGTGGAGAGGGTTGGTATCCAGTCTTTCTATCTTGGTAAGCCCAGTCAGCTTATATTTTTCTTTTTTTTTTCCTTCTTTTTCTTTAGGCAATTGGGTTAAGTGACTTGCCCAGGGTCACACAGCTAGTAAGTGTCAAGTGTTTGGTCTGAGGCCGGATTTGAACTCAAGTCCTCCTGACTTCAGGGTCGGTGCTCTATCTACTGTGCCACCTAGCTGCCCCCAGCTTCACAGTTTTCCAAAGGCAGCTCAAGATGGGCCATTGATTGGGGGCAGCAGAGAAGTGGGGACAAACAGGGCCAGGGAAGAAGTACAGGTTGCAGAGGAGAAAAAAAAAATCATTTTTGCAAATGATGCACAACCAAGCAAAAGATTTGCCCAGGCTGCAAGGCCAAGGAGGGGAAGCCAGGGGTTATGCTGAAATCCTAGGCATTCATCCCTGGAAGCTTGGAGCAGGAAGCACTGCACCTATTTTGGTGCAAGACCTAAGGCATGAGACAGGCCCATTTGGGATGACGGTGACTCCGTGTGACCACACTCAAACACTTCTTCAAAACTCTGAGGTCTTTTTTTATATTAATTTATTTTGATTTATCAATAATCGCTTCCATATGCTTTTGAGTTTAAAATTTTTCTCCCCCTTCCTCCCCACCACCCTCCCCAAGATGGCATACAATCTGATATAGGCTATACATTTGCATTCATATTAAACATTTTTACATTAGTGATATAAGTAAAAATTAAAACCAATAGGAGGATCCATCAGAAAGAGGAAACAAAACTCAACAGAAGAGAAAAAAAATAGCAATTCAACTTCCATAGTTCTTTCTTTGGACGTGGATAGCATTTTCCATCACGAGGCCTCTGGAAATGTCTTAGATCCTTGTATTGCTGGGAAGGGTTAAGTTTATCAATATTAGTCATCACACAACGTGGCAGTTATTGTGTCCAATGTTCCAAAACTCTGAGGTCTTAGATCCCAATATCACTCATCCTACATTGTCAAGGCCCTGCTGCTTTTGGTTTCTTTATTAGGTTATGAAGTTCTTTTGTCAGGTTGGAAGGGGGTACTGGGCCAGGCACAGTGGCTTCATGATCTGTTTGAATGAGACAAGAGCTGAAAATCAGGCCTGGGTACTAGTCCAGACACTACTGCTGCCAACAGTAATTATAAATAATAAAAATAGCTCCCCTAATGCTTTGAGGCAGGGTATGGACTATCCAGGATCTTTGGTGACCCTCTCAGCCCACCTTTTGACAAACTTCACCTCTCCTTGTGAGTCTGTGGAGGGGAACTCCAACTGGGATGCTCACCTATCTGGCTACAGGGGTCTAGCAGCTTGAGGGGGATGCCTATAGAGGAAGGAGTTGATAGTTTTGGACTCTAAGGTATGAGATGGCATGATACCATATATTGGATGGGGAGGGGGATGGTCAGCAGACATGGACTCAAATCTTGGTTGTGACACTCAGGATTTGATCCGTCACTTAGAGACTATCTAATCCAGGGGTGGGTAATCTGCAGCCTCGAGGCCACATGTGGCCCTCTAGGTCCTCAAGTGCAGCCCTTTGACTGAATTCAAACTTCACAGAACAAATCCTCTTAATAAAAGGATTTGTTTCATAAAACTTGGACTCAGTCAAAAGGCCCCACCTGAGGACCTAGAGGGCCACATGTGGCCTTGAGGCCACAGATTCCCCACCCCTGATTCTAATCCAGTCCCCTCATTTTACAAGTGGCCAGGCAGGGATTCTAAAGCAAGGGTTCTGAAAGAGAATCCAGAACCCATCTATAGACATCACAAGCTTGGGCAAATCACTTCAACTTTCTAGGGGTGAGTTTTTTCATCTGTGAAAGGGGATGAGGAGGGAGAGAGGACTGCCATTGTCTACTTCCCATCACACTCCTCATAATAAGGAAAGAGCTATAACAATAAAAGCTATTATTTTCAAAGGGGTGGGCTCCCCCTTGAAGCTGAGAGACAAGGCCAGTGGATGATGAGTTTCAGAGACTCTGACCTCTGAGCAAAATCAATCTGCACAATATACTATCGACCAATAGTGCACTTAATTTTGGTGGGGTGGGGGAGGGGGAGGTGCTTTCCCAAACTGGAGTTGAGATAGCTTGAAACGGGGATGGTCGGGGCACTTATGCTAACAGGATTTTTGGAGTTCTTGCTTCCAACTAAATAATGGCAGGATTTTTGATTGCTAGTTGGGTGGCAGGGGAAGGGGTGAGGAGGGCATAAATAAACTCTCTAGTCTATCTTTCAGCACCTTTATTGGGACAGAAAAAGTAAAGTGAATGTGTTCAGCTCTAGGGAGATGACAGGTGTTCCTTTTCTAGATGGATAAGCTGTGGGTATGTGTGTTCAGGGCCCTTGTTTTCAACCACAGCCCATTTGCCTTAGGACTGGTGCTTGAGGTAATTAATCAACACAGGTGGAATATCTAGCTGATCGATGAAGTTGACCGGGTAAGAGCACTGAAGAGCTTTTCGGACTGCAAGACGAGCCTGCGACATCAGGGATTTGGGATGAGCTGGAGGGAGAGATGACAGAGTTGAAGAAAGGCAGTTTTCCCACACTCTTATTACAGTCTTCTATTCCCTCCCTTCCTCAGCCTTCCACCTATCCCAATCCCAATCTGCCAAAAAAGAAAGCTGTGGACTTTGATGTCAAGAGTCCAGTGACTTTGACATTATCTAGCTAATGACTATAGGCAAGTCATTTAACCTCTTTCCTGATATGATAAGGGAGTTGTGAACCAGATGGTGACTATGGTCTTTTCCAGTTCTAAATCTTCTAACGGAGAGAAGATCCCATAGGAGAATCCGTAGAAGAAGTCTTAGAGCTTGAAGGGATCTTAAAGACCATCACATCTAACCTCCTCATTTTACAGTTGAGGAAACTGCAGAAACATTTCTAAATGATTTGCCCAAGATCATAAAAGTAGTAAGTGGAAGATTCAGGATTCAACCACTTAGGAAAAAGGGGGGTGAAAAATTAGCATGTGTTCTCTCAGAATGGATCACCAGTTATTGTGGTTCCCAGGGAAGTTCTGGCAAGTAACAGGGTCTTGGCTTGGGGACACTTCCCAGGAGCCCTCACTGGAGGAAGGCGGGCTCCCATTCCAACTATGCCTGAGACTAGCCCTGAGAACTCTCTCCCTTCCCCCTCTCACTCACTTCTTTCCCTTAGCAGTAGGGCCACACCTTCCCCATCCCGGTCTGTCTTCTCCAGTGGGAGAGGTGGGAGGTAGACATTGGCCCCAAAGTCCACAAGCAGTTGGATATACTTGAGGGGGCAGCTATGTTGCAGGCAAAATTCTAGCAGTGTGCGTGGCTTGGGTACACGAGAAAGCAGTTGTCTATCTGTGCAGTTGTAATCTGGGTCAGCTCCATACAACAGAAGGAGGCGGAAGCATTCAAGATGGCCATAGACAGCTGACAAGTAGACAGGCCCGGAGCAGGAGGCGATGTTGGAAGCCCACTCTGGCAACCTAGCCTTGACATTGGCCTCAGCTCCGTGACCCAGGAGCTCCCTCAGAATCCCACTGGCACCATCTCTAGCAGCTGTGAGAACCGGGGAACTGTTGTTATAGATGCTGCCCCCAGGGCTGGCACCAGCCTCCAGCAAGACCCGAACACAGTCCAAGTGCCCATGACTGACCGCAGTGAACAGGGGTGTCTGGGCCTTAACATCCAGGCTGTCCACTTCTGCCCCGTGAGCTAGAAGAACTTCCAGGCAGCTAAGGTGGCCATGAGAGGCAGCTAGGCGTAGTGGGGTACTTGGCACGCCCCAGCCACTGCGGCTGTTGATAAAGCGCTTGTAGCGCTCCTGGTGAAGGAGCTTGTCTAGGGTCCTGGCATCGTTGTTACAGACAATTTGATTCAGCTCCTGTTTCTCACTAGCATTGTCTTCCTCGTCAGGCTGTTGGAGCAGGGAGAATATCTTACTGATGTCCATGAGGCTCATCTCTGCAGGCTGAAGAAGAATCCCTCTCATCCTGGGTGGCAGAACACACCAGACCTGCCCAGGGTGGGAGTGGGAAGGGTTCATGGGGTTATTAGGGCTCCCTTCTGAAGCCCAGGTTGGGCCCTCGGTTCTGCCTCCAGATTCCCATCTCTGTTCTATTGACGATTTCCACCTTCTTTCCCATCCTTGAAAACCGAACTCCAATGTTGCCCCCTTCCAGCAAGCCTCTCCTGATCCCCTTGTCACAAAGGCGTCTCTCTTGTGCCCAGCTCTTTGCTGCCGCAAATGCCAGCCACATTCACCATGTAAGAGGCTGTTTCTTGTTCCCCATTAGACTCTGAGCTTCCTGAGGAAACAGGGACCTTCATCTCCAAGTCCCAGGAAAGTGTTCAAATAGGGTCATGATTAGAGTAGGTGAGGATCAACACCCCCCCCCCCCCTATTTTGCAAATAGAAGAAACCCATTCAAGAAGAGCATGAGATTTGCTTAGGCTCACTCAGGTAAGTGTGCATCCCAGGCTGGCCCATGGTCATCATTGTAACCCTGCCCTCCCCAGGCCATAGTAACCTGCCCAAACTTCAACGAAGGTGTAACCTGCTTCTGGGGAGTACCTTCAGAGAGATTTTCAGCACATGAACCTTGGCTGGCAGAGAAGAGAGAGGCTGATGTAAACGAGCTTTCACTGGCTCCCTCGGAGGTCACAGGATAAGGATAAAGTAGGAGCTAGCTAGGTCACAAACCTCTCAGTATGGTCATGGCTCAGGAGGTAGTGGAGACAATACTTAGCCTGGCAGGTAAGAGAGACTTAGGCTCAAGTTTCAGCTCTGCCACTCGCTGGCTGTGTGGCCTTGCCCAAGTCTCTCTGCTCCTCTGGGCCTCAGTTTCCCTTTCTGTAAGATGAGGGAGTTGGAGCCAATGACCTCTTCTAAGGTCTCTTCCAGCCCTGCATCCTATAAGAGCCTACAAATCCATTCACAACACCCTCCCAGACCCCGACGTCCCGATGGGAAAACCATCCTAATGCTTTTCCTTCCGGAATTCCCCCCAAAGGAAGTTCTGCTGGTGCTTTAACCCTACAGTCTGGAATTTAACCCCTAAACTTTCTGGGTCTGTCCCCCGAACCTGAGGTAGCCTGCTCCCACCCCGTCCCATCCTCGGAATTGGAAGGCGAAGGTCCTGTGGGGTCTTGTAGGGACCGTTTCCCAACCGTCGGCGCGGGTCTGGGGCCCTCGGGGCGGGCGTCGGTCGGGGGGTTTCTAGAGCTCCCTGCTGCCAGAACCTCGGGTAAACGTCAGGCAGGTACCCCGGCACCACCCCCTCCCCAAGTATCTTTCCCCAGTCCCAGGGGTACTCACGGAGCCGCAAGCCTAGGAGAGCTCAGTCGGGGCAAGGCCGACCCCTCTGTGGGTGCGGATGGTCAGTGACGTCGGCGCCCACCTTTGTGAGGCAGGAACCCCACACCCGCCCTCCCCCACTCCCCACCCCGGGGCTCTGGGGCCCCACTCACCGTTGGGCAGCCGGTCGCTTTCCGTGCCCCTCCCCTCCCCCACGCGCCCTCCGGGGCTAATTTTAGCTGCCCCTTCGCCCTCCTCCCCCGTGCCCTGGCCGCCTGCTGGCTTATCTTATGGCTGCGATTCCGGGAGAGGGACATCTAGGGAGGGAGGCGGAGTGGGATCGTGACAGGTGCCCGACGCCCCCGCCTCCCCCAACCCCGTCCATCCCTCTGTGCACCCAATAAAATTCGGTCAACTGTGGAGCCCAAGAGAGAAGCGCAGCTTGGGGTCGCCTGGTCTGATCAGGTGCCTTCCTAACTTCAAAGAAAAACCGCCTGGGACAGTTGGCCGCTCCTCTCCACATCCCCATTCCCCACCCCCACCCCCCAAGCCTAACTCCACCCCCGCTTCTCCAAATCTTCTGGAGAAGCAGAAATAGGGGGCCCAGTCTTGGTCAATTTTATCCGAAGCTGGATAACTATTACAGGCACAGCTAAAGGCCTTCATCCCGCTGCCCATACACCCCGAGGAAGGGAAGGATCAAGTCCACCAAGGGGCCCCACTATCCCACCTAGATGTTTGGTCACTGGGAAAACATCTACCTTCGAAGCCCTCTGACTTCCTCCCTCCCTCCTAAGGGGCAACCGATCCTGGCCCAGAATGTGTCTGCAGCTCAGAGAGGAAATGATTGGGTCCCATTCAACCCTCACAAGTGACCTCAACCCTCAGCCTAAACAGGACACAGAAGGACCCAGCCACACACACACACACCTCTCCTCTGAATGATAAATGAAAAGAAGGACTGAAAGTTATTAAGTTTCTGCCCACCAAGGTGTCTGGAAGGCACTGAAGGACCCCACAGAGTTGTGGAATGGCTCTCCATGCCCTGGAGAGGCAGAAAAATGGCTCAACAGACACAGCAATGGACCTGGAATGGGGAAGATCTGTGTTCAAATCCAAAAATACTTACTTACTAGCTGGATGACCCTGGGCAAGTCACTTAATCTGTTTGCCTTAATCCACTGGAGAAGGAAATGGCAAATCACTCCAGCATCTTTGCCAAGAAAACCCCATGGACAGTATGGCCTACAGGAGCACAAAGAGTCAGATGGGACAACTTCAGGTTCTGAGCCTGCCCCTATCCTCCTCACACCTGTCCATGGTAGATGACTTCTAGGGTTTAAGTTATAGCTCTAGGATTCTACTCTTCTAAATCACAGACTGTATTGGCCCAGGCTGCTTGAAACCTCACAAGAACCTCTTCTGTTCTCTGGTCGCCCCTGACAACAGAACAAAGGTCACCAGGAGAACAGAAGGGAAGGAAAGCCAATGAAAAGATGAAGGAATTACTGTTCTAGTCCTGACCTGGCAAGGCACTAGTCAGGCACTCTCCTCTGCCATGAACCTATGATCTCCCAGTTTTTAATTCCACATTTGTTGATTTGTTACTAAAGTCAAGTGTTAAGGAAATAATGGTGTCGCTGGATGTGTTAAACTACTGTGTTTCATTTAAATTCCAATGGACATTCTGACAGTGAGATAGGAAGGAAAGGATTGGCTTCCAGCTTTGCCACTTCCTGGCTGTATGACTAAGTCACATCAACTTTTTCCAGCCTTACTTTCCACATCTGTAAAATTTTAAACAGATGAGAAACTAAAGATGAGCAGCTTAAATTGTATATTGAAAAAAGAAGAAAAAAGGCAAAAGTTAACCACTGTGCATAGATAAATATGGCAGCATCTTAGATTTCAAGTCTAACCCCCCTCAATGCAGATAAAGAGCTGGAAGGTCTCAAGACCATCTAGTTGAAGCCTCTCATCTTACAGGAGGGGAGACTGAGGCTCAGAAAGGGAAGAGCCCTCTACACTCCCTTCTGGCAGCCACACAGACATATCTGACTGAGGACCATCTCTCCAAGTGTGAACCCAACAGGAAAGCCATCGAGCACGTGACTGGGGCTGCTTTCTTCCCAGCTCTAGTGCTGCTGCTTAGGGGATAGTTATGACTAGAGAGCAACCATTCATTTTGCTCCTTGTCCCTTCAGCAGTTCTGGTAGACTTGGTAGCAGAGAAGACTGAAAAGGATGAGAGCCTTTTGCAATGTTTTGATTTTCAAAGCACAGCCCTCCTCTCACTTGGTCCTTCTAACAGTCCTGTGAAGTAGGTAGAGTGGGAATGTTGTTTTTATCTTGCAGAAAACATCAGCTCATATTTCTGTATTAATAACTACTGACATCACTAATGTGTTTTGAGATTGGCAAAAGCATTTCTTCACAACAGCCCCAAGGAATGCAAACATTATGATTACCCACTCTATAGATGAGCTTTATGGAAATGTGACTTGCTGAAGGTCACACAGCCCTGGGATAAGTGGTGGAAACCAAGGTGGGCCTCTGACACTGAGGCCAGGGCCCAATCGGCTCTGCCATGCAACTACAGCTAAAATGGTTAAGATTACCTGCAGATTTAAAATATCAACAGCAACATATGAATGGATGGAATGGAGGGGTGGATGGATGGATGGATGAAAAAACCTTTTTTAAAGATTTACTGTGTGTAAAACACTGCATTAAGCAATGAGGATACAAATAGAAAAGCCTCACAGTCTCTGCTCTCAAGGAGCTCACATTTTAATATGGGACATATACAAAAAGGAGGTTTCGAGAAGTCAGAGAAAGTTCTAGTGGTCTGTGTTGTGTGGCCTGAGGCAAAGCGTGCATACTTTGTGTTTAGAACCAAGGCCACAATGAAGATGTGCAATGCAACACCCAAGTGCTGCCAGAAACAACTCGGATTTATTACACGTTTGATTTTTAATTAATTTTTGGTTGGTGTGTGCTCAGAAACCTTTTCCTGTTGCCAAGTTTTTCCCCGGGGATCTTGGGAGCAAGGCCTGGGCTGTCTCCACCTGCATCTGAGGGAAGCCAGTAGATGAAGTGATATCAGTAATTTGACTCACCTGGTACATGCTGCTCTATCTTCCCCATGATGCTGGCACATGTACATGTATACATATGTGCACGTGTGTTTATGGGCATCATATGTCTATATGTGCATTGTGCACACACGTGAATGTTATATGTATATGTATATTCATGAGCACATTTATTTGTAGAGGTCTATATGTGAATGTATACATATGTTTGTGTGGAACATGTATGTATGTGTGTTTATGTACATAGATACATGTCATAAATATTTAGATATATAGATATAGCCATCAACAAATCTACAATACATTAAGATTGGCAACAGCCTTGTGAGGTAAAGAATGTGCTTTATTACCTACCCCACAAAGAAAACAAGCCCCCAAGCCATTTTTGGCCTTCAGTACCACAAATAGCAGAGAGAAGTATTTTGGAATTACTTAGTGGCTAGATTCTAGGCTTGGATAGGATTTTAACCTGATCATTTTACCTTCGATCTTTGTAGAAAATTTTATGTTTCCATAGCTGGCTGAGCAAGGTCATGCCATCTTCTTTGAAGTTGTGTGGGCCTTAATATTGATTTTGTATCTAATTTAAAAGGAGGCTTGAGAAAGTTTATGGTGAATT